AATTTATTGCCAAAAACAGGCTGTATGTTTTTTTTTTTTTTTTTGTAAGACCTGTGGCTCTTTTCAGAAGCAGTAGAAACCCAAATGGAAGTGTAAAAATGTGCAAAATGTGAATCTTGCATAATAGGTTCAAAAGTTACAAAAGTAATTTCTGTGACATGATGCCACCCTCTTCATTCAAAATTCCAGATTCCCTCTCACTAATTAATACTTCCGCTGGGACCTCTGCTCCGAACTCTACACCAAAATCAATCCACTTCCTTCAATACAGGACTCTTGTTTTGGAACCAGTAAACTACCTTTCCTCATATTAACCTGTACTTTTCATTATCTCAACTCCTCACCATACTTGGCTCTTCCTTTTTCCCTATCAGACACTCAGACCCAGTTACCCTTTCCACATTTAGACTTGTAGATATTGTAAATACAAGTCTCTCTTTTAAATTGTCTTCTTCCGTGTCTGATTCTTAATGTGGGTCTGGTTGAATCTTTCATGAAATAACTTAAGCAGTTCAAATGCATCAGATTGTCAATGTGGTTTACATTAGCAGTTCTGTTCAATCTCCATCCATTTTCTTACACTCTTACCTTTACCTTTAAACATCCAGCTAGAACTGCATTCATTTATTGGAATAGTCCAGGACTTTGTTTAAATCTCAGTCCAGCTGAGAGTCTGTAGCTAAACTTGAAAGTTGATAATAGTCAATAGTATTTATCGTATGGTTCATGATTTATTGTGAAAAATGTCTTACTATGATGAGAATTTTGATTGATTGTTGTCTAGATGAATTTTGAGACAATATTTAATGATGTTAAATACAAAATAAAACTGACTGTATTAAAATTAAATAAATTTTATTTTGACTGTTTTCTCTGTTATTTTTTTCCACAAGAGCATCAATAAATTTTAGTAAATCTGAAAACATAATTACTTGTAGTTACTGTGTGCAGTTTACCGATATAAATCTCACTTCTTTAAGTAAGTGGCGTCCTGAAGAAGCTTGAATGAAAAATATTCAGGTCTGTGGTTGAAACAAAACGAAAGAAGAAAAGGCTTAAAACAGCAATAATACAAACTTATGCAAACCACTGTAGGAGACATAAATCCCTGACAACCAGTATCGTCTGTGATGCAAAAAGGATTCCTCTAAAATATATCAGTTTAATATGATTATTGAAGTATCTACAAGAATGCATATGAAGTTTTAATGCCCATTTTCTCCAGAGAGTGAAAACTGGGCATCAATGTATAATTATAAGTTATCACTACTACTGATGATGGAGCTAATGCATAAAAAAGGAAAGTTCACCACCATTCAGAATGGTCAGATTAAATTAGGAAAGCGAGCAAATCAGATAACTGCACACTGTTCAGTTTATGTTTCACAAACCTGGAGGTAAAGGAAATACTATCTTATCATTGGGCTTCATAATAATATATTCAGAGTAGGTAGTTTCCTTTCATCTATTTTTTCTATGCAAAATATGACATACTTCAAGGTTAAGGGTTCTTGCGGCAATTTCATCCACAAAGATGTTAAGATGAGGACACAATACAGGATTTACTGAGGAAGTAGGATGGATAAGAAGAAGAAGAAAAAAACATATATATATATATATATATATATATATATATATATATATATATATATACATACACTGTAAGATAAGCTTTAGATATTAAATCTAATGCACAGGGAGACAGACAAATAATGAGTACCAAATCTATCATTCTATTATAGGTTGTGTTATTTTTCGCTGACCTGGGTTAAGTGATGCTCGTCCGTTATGTCGTGCGGTCCCTTTGATTTATTGACGCCACGGGACCGAGCAGGTCGTTGTTCTTGTTGTCGCCGCCGCCATGTTCCCGCTGAGTGTCCCGGCCTGCCGTCCCGCTGTCCGGGCGTGCTATCCGAGTTCTCCCTCGGTGTCCGGTGTTGGCATTTGGAAGAACGAGGCCGAGGGAACTTCGGGTCCTTATCCTCCAAGCTTTCTGTTTTACCGCACTGCCTACTGCTACTGCAGGACAGAGTGACAAGCAGGAGCAAGGAGTGAATCTGTTTTCCAGGGGATTTTCAGAATAAAATTATTTTGCGCAATTACTCTCAGTTGGCACCCCTGTCCCTCTTCTTCCTCATCCTCATCCATGTTTTTAGGCATAGAATGTATTTGTTCTACATCCATCCTGCCATCCATCCATCCATCCATCCATCCATCCATCCATCCATCCATCCATCCATCCATCCATCCATCCATCCATCCATCCATCCATTATCTCCTGATGCAACATTGGATTTTGAGAGGGCCAGAAAAACCATTGCTGGTGGTCAAAGACAAACGCAGTTGCACAAACAACCCAAACAAAAACTGACCTAACAAACAAGACATGAGGGGAACTTAAATAGTGGCTGATCAGACCACTGCTGATACACAAGGGAATTAATTAGCAAACAAATATTGGTCTAAACAAAACTAAATAATTGTTAAATTAAACAAAAACTATTAGAACCGAATTGCCAAAAGGAAGAAAACTAAAGAAATAGAAATTAAACTAAAAAAATAACCAAACTCCCCCTGCCCCTGGCAAACAAATGGTATAACCCTCTGAGGAGGTTTGCCAGCCACATATGAAAAAGCAGCTGGAGCTCTTCTGTGTGGCCCTCCAGCAGCAGCTCCAAAGGAAACTGGTACCTCAAAACAAGAAGAAATTAATTTATTGCATATTACCAAAATATAGCAAACCAGAAGACTTCCAATGAGTGGTGACATCCAGATTAAAGGATTTTTAAGATTGAGTCCAGTAACTCTATAAATCAAACTCAGCTAACTTAATCTTGTCCTTGGCTGTGGAGTGATACAGTTTTCAGCAGGAAGCACCTGGTTTTGAACATCTGCTGGTGTCTTTGTGAAGTTTGTCTCTCCCGCTATCCACATCTACATTTTCTTTGAAAGAAAAATGCTAAGGATTCTGATTCTGAACACCACACTGTGAAATGCATGTAACTAAGGATAAATTCCAGTCATGTATCAGCTATGTTTTTGTAGCTTAGCTTAGCTTAGGTTCAGTCAATTAAATTTAAATTACAAAATATTTATGCTTCTGCACATGAATGCAAAAACTGGACTGAAATTAGAGGTGACAGTCTTGCAAATTTATACCATAAATAAATTTTTACCAATATACCCGATTTTATTTTATTTTGAAGGCACTCAGCAATCACATTACATCCGGCTTATTCTAAATCCCCCAGCTTGTCGGTCTTCCATGCTGTAGATCAAGACAAGCAATCTGCAGAACAGGGATGAGAATGAAGATACACGCAGAAACATCGGTCTTCTCACGTTTGGCATGTCTGTTATCGGTGTACAGATGCTTTTGCTTGAATAAATTCCCTCAAAACTTTTAATATTTTGGGATTGGTAAAACAAGATTTAAATAGATTCTGATGTAACTGTGGACTATTCATCAGCAGTTGCATAGCTATTGTTTGACGGTCAGTGAAATTAAGCATAAAATGCAGTTATACAATAAAATAGTTATGGAAATATGGAGTTCGAAACATTATATTTGTAGATTACATTGTGGTCAAGGTCAATCGAATTGTGAAAACTAGTTCCCTGACCGGGAATCGAACCCGGGCCGCGGCGGTGAGAGCGCCGAATCCTAACCACTAGACCACCAGGGACTTTCCGGGATTGTCAACAGATAATCTGTGGATAAGATCTATACATCTGAAACATAAGGTATAGCTCTGAATGGTGTCTGTCGATTTATCTGACTTATGGGGCTCTTTGTTCCACTGAGTAAGGATGTTTTCCTTAGACTTGAGGATGTCCTAAATGTACACTGCAGGACGGTTTACATGTTAAGCTAACACGTAACATGGCAGCGCATGTATTCACGACAAAATGTACCTGGTATTTTTTTTCCGTTTAAGTAAAAAGTAACACTAGTAGGCATTTGTTGTTACTGTCTGTAAACCTTTATTCAATAATACTCGGACAGTTAGAATTCAGCTTTCCTTAAAATAACTAGTATCTTTGACTTGCCAATGCTGATAGTTTTAAGATGCCTAAACCAGCGCACGGTTAAGTCGAATGTTATCTTCCAGCGTTTCAAATAGAGACGGAGTAATATTTATAATCGAAATATAAAGACATCTCAAGAAATGATCAGGTTTCACAAGATCTACTTTAATTCATTTATAGATGTATACGGAGTTTCTGGACAGGACCTCGTGGCGCAACGGTAGCGCGTCTGACTCCAGATCAGAAGGTTGCGTGTTCAAATCACGTCGGGGTCATTGCTTTTCTTCTGATCGGGATCTTTTTCTCTTTTGATATTTTGAAAAACACTAAGAAATGTATAATACAATGATAAATATTACGTTAGTATACTTTATGATAAATGCTGAAAAGCCAAGCACAACAGATTAGGGCTTTGAGCAGGTAGGATCTCCAGTAAATGCAATGAATCTTGAGTCTCTGCTCTAATAGAAGCTTCAGTCTTGAGACATGCCAATAACTCGCTTTTCAAACTTCCAATCCACGTCATTTGCTTTTGCTGGTCCTCTTTAAATCTTTGTCTGGCTGTATGTTGATACCTCACATCCATGATGACTTCTTTTCACTTCATCTGGGATTTCTGGTGGTCATAGTTCAGGAAAGGCAACTCGGCTGCTTCCAGTTGTAAAAACAATCACTTGCAGCCACGTTTAAATATCGTAGCTGTCCAAAAATAAAAAAGAGTAAATATTCTTCCAGCTTGATAGCATCCAGCAGAGGGAATAATTGTCCAAGCATTAAATTCCTTTGCCAAAAAATAGAAAAATGAACAAATGTCTAGAAACAGAAAAAAATAAGAACTAACATAACAGAGCTACTCCAACATGTGTTTTTGAGCAGCAGCAATTCTAGAATTCTAGAATTATTTTCCCTATCCTTTTGCCAATTTAGGCTATAAACCACAAAAAAGAAACAACCAAAATTATGACAAGCTCTTTTAAGTTTTTAAGCAAAAGTTAAAATCCCTTTGTTCTGTTTATTATAAAGTTTCTGCAATTAATTATCTCATTCTTAATGCCAACATTCATTTGGCTTTTGAAAAAAAAAAGAAAACTGAAAGAACTGAACACAATATTTTCCCCCTGCTTTACACTCTACAAATGTTCATTTGTTTCATTGTTTCAGAAATTTATTGAGCAAATAAATAAACGCAGAGCTTACAAAAACACAAGATGAAGTAACATTTACTGACCCACGTGTTTTCTTAGCGTTTTTTTTTTTTTTGCCTTGAATAAAAGCAAATAAAGAAAAATGGAGTTAAAAGTATATCTGGGAAAAAAACTGAGCTCGTTTCTGTGTCAAAATGAGAGTAGGCCTAATTAAATCATGCAATCTAAAAATATATTTAGGCCACTTGAAATTAGAATGAGGTCTGTGGGATGCAGAACTAAATATAGTTTTGGGTGAGAAAAAAGCTAAAACAGTACAGAGCAGTCAGTGCGAAGCTATAGTTTCTCTAAAAGTTTGCCTCTAAAAATGAGTTTGCTAGAAGCTACAAAATGAAAAGTCCAAAACATCAGAAGTGCTGTGATGAGAAGCAAACAGATCACCACATCTTGACTTTAAGCACTGAAGAGAAACATCTCCTCCCTGATAATCCTGGTGCTAGCAGGAAGAGCCGGAGCCCGACTTATGAATGCTCATCTTCTTGCGAGTGTTGTCGGTGCAGCGCTCCAGGATGAGCTCCGGACTGGGCCGCGGCGGGATGACTGGAGCTTCCTTCTTCAGCTCACTCTCTGAACTGGATTCAGACACTTCGGGAATGTTGTCTGTTGAATGAATACAGAAGACGGAGATTATGTGGTGCCATTCAGATTGAACCAGCTTCAAATATCAAAGCTTGTTCTTTATTACCCTCATTCTTCCTCTCCTTCAGTGGCACCTTCCCAGAGTTCCGTTTTGGAGGAGTGACACCTTTCTGCTGCAGGTAACGCCGACTGTTCCTGCGATAGGCGTCTTGACTTAGCTTCTGCCGGGATTTGCTGTGAATGCTTTTGGCATTTCTGATGGTGGACCTAAGATAGAGACAGAAGATAGAAGGTAAGTCTAGGTCAGGGGTGGTGAACCTGGGACTCGAGCCGCAAGCAGCTCTTCGACGGATCATGCGAGGCTCTTTGATACCGAAATTTCCCACACTCATTGAAGGCAGCAATGAGTGCGAGTGCTGACAAAAGCAGAGTAACGCGCAAGTTTTAAGCTACCCTACAAGAGGCGGAGAGACTTTAGGTGAGAAGGATTTGAATCATTAAGGAATAAAATCTGTTTCCATGGTAGCAGCTGTAAGAGAATAAAATCATTAAGTTCTGGCTCGTTATATTCTCTCGTCCTCCCGGATTCAGTGATGCCATGCGTGGAAATAAAAGCCACACAGATAATCAACGCTCCACGCCATACATTTTCCTCAGAGTTTATTCCAACATTTAAAAGTATAAAATCACATCGAGAACACAGACACCTTTAAACACACTAAGACAGACATTCATTTACCTGAGACAAATAGAAAAGTAGGAAAATAGAAAAACAGGAAAAAGGCAAAAAACGCGTTTTTTGGAGATTGCTATGCGGCTGCAAATAGCAAATCTGATTCGTTCCTCTGGGGCCCTTACTTTTATTCAAAAAGGTGTTTTTTTTGTTTGTTTGTTTTAATTTATGCAGTTTTGCGATTAAGGCGTGTTGTTCTCTTTGTATGGATAGACCCAGTTTCAAATTAGTCAGTTTGGGCATTACCTTGTGAGACCTGTTTAATTTCAGGGCTACGGCGCTTCTCAATCTAGACAAGGGAGACCTATAGGGTCATTTAGAGCAGGCTCTTCTCCTGCCAGTTTGAAATGTGATGTTTCTCCTAATTCCTGGTTGGAACAAAGCCTCTAGTCTTCCACCAGGGTTCAACCAAAAGTTAACCTGTCTTAGACCTATTTTATTTCCCTGTCGTGTAATTCCTACAAATACAGATCAGTTCAGTAATTTTAAATTGACATGAAGCCTGGCACTCAAAGTGGTTCAGAACTTCTGCATCCTCTTAGATCAAAGCGCAGATTTTAAGAATAAAACACTTATAGAATATACCTGAGCATTTTCAATATAAACACATTCATTCTAAACATTTTCTAATTAATGTTATACTAGTTTTGATTATATGTTTGGCTCACTTAGTGTTACAAATTTAGCCTGATTACCAGTGTTAATATAAAACTACAAATTAGACTAGTTCAAGTTATGTTAATTTTAACTAAATGGTATTCTACTAATTAAATTGCAATTATTGTTGGTATTGTCTTGTCATTTTTGTTAAGTTTTAGTGTCTCTCTGAGGGAGATGACTTGAGAAGTCTCCTCTGCTGCCTTTGTGCCAGAGTTCATTTATGACGTGGTTCCTTCCTGATAACAGACATTCTTTTCTGCAGGGCTAACTTAAAGTCCTCTTACTCAAACTAATCCTGCTGAATCTACCTTTTTCACATGTGGTAAGATTAACTGTATTAAATATTAAGAATATTTATTTTCCTCAACAGGTCTCTGTATTTCTGTCGGCTGCATTATTTCATGTCGGTGCACTTTGCGCCGTTTCCAAGCTCAGAGAATTTTGGCACAGAGGTGGAAGTGAAGCAAGCTGCTGCTGCTGCGCAAGTAATAAGATAGAAGCAAACATATCAGAGTTTGCGCAGCAGGTTCCGGTGCCGCTGAGGGGAAAAGCAAATTCTGATCACATGAACACAATCAATGCTATGCATTGCAGTGACGCCCAGAGTGGCAG